ATACAGTAACATGAAAAAGTTTTCAAAACTGTCACATTAAAGAGTAATACAATCAGCTAGGGGAATTAAAAATTGTTGTAATAATACAATCAACAGGATGGAATATAAATGGAGACAAAAGAATTGGAGTGCATGGCATGACATCACTGAAAGGCATGGGGTAAAAAAAAAAAAGCAGCTTACAAATAACTTTGGAAAACAGCATTTCAACTGGAAACTGTAAGGCAAAAAGACAAAAATAATTGCACACAAACAGCATACTTTAGTTGATAAAGTTGTTTCGTATGGGGATAAAGCTTAACACATCTGAAACCATTTCCACATATAGTGGGAGTCAAAAAGCAAATAGATGGTAGATGGTGGGAACCAGGCTTCTCACTGTGAGAAGGAATTAATAGAGAAGCAAAGAGAAAAGACCAGAATGGCCTCTATAATAACAGATTCATCACAGACATCAGTTTGAGCTCATGCTTAACATAGATACAGATAGAGAAACAATCCAACACATGAATTACTAACGTGGGTTAATATACATACATGTACTTCCTAGCTCTTTCTGCTGAGAGGGCCTAGAAGCAATGACACTCTAGGAGCAGTGAGTACACCAAGTCCAGATCTTGGCTCCTAAATACAATTCCCCAGTGAAAGGAATCAGGGTTCCTTGGAGAAAGGCCCGATTCTAGGACTGGGGCAGGGAAAATACAAGAAGAGCCCACACCATCTTAGAGTGTCAGAAAGGAAGTGCTCAAAAACCAAAAGGACGGGAGCATATCAAAGCAACACAGGAGCCAAGCTGAAAGAGCTCAACCAAAGCTGGAACAACTTCAGCAACCAAATAACATAGAACCGATTATAACCCGAAGTATAAAATAAATGTATGAGTCCATACTGATACACGTACACTGCTGTATTAAATATGTAGGGGAGAAGAGATAGAATCTTCCTTCTAAGTTTATGTAGATACTCCCCACTCCAAGAAGTGAAGCTTAATTCCATCCCCTCTCCTGTGAGTACGGGTTGGACTCGGTGATCTGTGTCCAAATAACAGAGTATGGGAGAGGGGAGGAAACCTGTCAAACACTGGCCTGGCCAGGAGATGAAGGTTAGCATCACTGGTGATAAATTCTACTAATGCACATGCCCCTGACATGATGTGATGAGGAGGGCACTCCACTCCTGTGCTATTCTTCCTCCCAAACCCGTAACTCCAGTCATGAGAAAAACATCGGATAAACTCAAATTGAGGGGCCTTCTGTAAAAAAACCTGACCAGTACTTCTCAAGTTGCCATGCTCATGAAAAAATAGGGAAAAATCTCACACTTTCAGAGCATGAACTGTCACAGACCAGAGACGAGGCACACGTGACAACTAAACACAACATGGGACACTAGACTGGATCCTGGAACAGAAAAAGGACATTAACGGAAAAACTGGTGAAATCAAAATAGAGCCCGGAGCTTAGTGAACAGTAACATACCAATGTTGCTTTCTTGGTTCTGACAAATCTGCCATGGTCATGTTAAGACGTTAACAATGGGGGAAGCCAGGCATGGGGTATATGGGAACCCCATGTAGTATAGACTACTTCTGCAACTTCTCTGTAAATCTAAAAGCATTCCAAAATAGGACATTTAAAAAAAAAAAAAAAAAAAAAAGGCAATATACATACCAAGTATGTATACCCTATGATTCAACTGTATAAAACATACAAATGTTAAGGCATCAGAAATAATAGTGGTCTTATGTTACTAGGAAACATTGCATCTTTTTCCTTTACTATTATAATGCTGTGTTAAAAGTCCCAAAGAAGCCCCTGATAACTGGGAACATCTATCCTTGGTGAGGCAGGACAATCACATGAGTGTGAGAAAAAGGAACCACATGTGATCTCCACTGGACAAGACAGAAGGTCCAGAACTGTCAACTGAAATGAAAGGGAGAGAGAGCAGAGGTGACGAACAACATAACTAAAGTTGCAGGATAATTAGGGCAGTGGTTCTAGCTAAGGTACGTACACTATGTCCCCTTTCAAGTTTCAAAGTCACCAGAATTTCCCTTAGTCATTTTCTGGGTCAGGGGTAGGACAGCTCTTCATTTGCTACCTTTTTTTATCTTTTGCACATATTTATTATTTTAAGCAATTTAACTGCCAAAAAAAAAAAAAAAAAGGACAGAGGACAAGAGAGGATGCTCATCACTAAAGAAAAAGCATGAGTCCATGTTTAAATCCAGTTACCTTATGTAATCGAAGGTATACATGAGCCGAAGAGAGTTTGTCCACGTGAAACCTACAAAGAATGAAAACTACTTTTAGCAAGAGGTACAAGACAACCATCTCCTCAGGCCCCTTGCATTTAAAGCATTCCAATCCAAAAAGTATTAACTCAGTGCTTACCACATGTCAAGCACCATGGGGAGTAAAAACACGATCACTGCCTCCAAAGGGCTCACTGTCAACTGGGAGAGGTAAGGTAAACAGGGCAAGTTCTGCAGCTGCATGAGACTAAGTGCCAAGCTGAATACTAGAGACAATAAATGGAAATGCCTTGCAAAGGGCAATTTTGTTTCAAGTGAGAAAGAGCTATCAGTGATCACAAACTTCACTGATGAACTGAGACTCAGAGGGTATCTGACTAAAACACAGGTCATAGAGAAAACACAGGGAAAGGAATTTCAGGTGAGGAGAGAAGGGAATGAAAGAAGTCATCAAGATCCATGGTGTTGCAAGCCTGGGAGACCGGCAGGACTATAGAGGAAAATATTTTACAGGTGGAGAAGGCACCAGTTTGGGAAAAAAGAGGAGAGGAATGGTTTGGGATGTCCTAAGTTCAAAAACAATCCAAAGAGAAGTACAGAGTTGGACGAGCCATAAAATGGGTCAGACCAACAATTCATCCTCCTTGTATCTGACAATGGCACTAATATGTTTTCTGGGAAAGCACGGGGATTGCCCTTTATGATACAGTCCTAAAAAAATCCCAATGTCCTAAATTTACCTTTCATTAAGCCTCTATCATCCACCAATTGAAAGAAATCTTTCTAAACTTAATTCCTTTTACACCCTAGTCTAACATTTGGAGATATTTACCAAATAAAGTTGACATTCCCTCTTTCCAGCTTCCAGAGATGCCCCAGAATTGTCACAACAAACAACGGTAACACATGATGGTCACTTTGGGATTCTGATAACATTAGTCATCTCTTCCTTACTCCTCACCTTTCCAGACTGAAGAGTGCTCAGTAAAACCCTAAGGAGGCACCACTTCACTCCATTATATATTTCTCTAGACATTTTCTTAGCATTAATGTGTTTTTAGAAGTGAAAATGGTCACACACTCATGCCTACTGTAAGATGTGGACAGCATGATTCTATACAAATGTTGGAGATTATGGAGAAGCTGTTTGGTGTTCTAGTCGGTTATGCCCGATTTCTGGCTCAGGTCATGATCTATGGGTTCAGGAGTTCGGTTCGGCTGTTGTGGCTTCCTGTGCTGAGGGCTTTAGAGCCTGGAGCTAAGCCTTGTGTCTCTTCTCTGACCCTCCCCTGATGTTTCTGTTCTGTCTCAAAAAATAAAGAACAAAAAAAAAAAAAAATTAAAAAAAAAAAAAAAAGATTATGCTGTTTCTAATGCCCTCTTAAGGAAGTTAAGCATTTTGCTAGTCACCATGGATACAGAAAAATACTACACATTTTTGGCAGTCTGTGATACCTCTAGGTTTTTTTGTTGTTTTTTTTTTTTTTTTTAACATGTATTCATTTTGTATATATCAGGATGTGAGCAGGGGAGGGACAGAGAGAGAGGAAGACACAGAATCCAAAGCAGGCTCCAGGCTCTGAGCTGCCAGCACAAAGCCCAATGTGGGGCTCAAACTCACAGACCGTGAGATCATGACCTGAGCTGGAGTCCCATGTTTAACAGACTGAGCCACCCAGGTGCCCCCTCTAGGTTTTATTATTATCCATTACTGGTAACCAGAATTGGACATTGATTTATTTTTCTCATATAAAATTTATATTCCCTATAAGAGATTCCTACTGATTACCGTCTTTAGCTTGGCCTTTTCCACTGAAAAAAAATGTGTTTTTGCAAATCCAGAAATTATGTATCTAATTATCCTCTTTCAGGATCTTAGGAAGCAAGTTCAGTTGAAAAGTAACTTGCCCCATTCTGACTTGTCTTAAGCTAATTCTCTATTTATAACAACTCTTTCCTACATACCCATAGTAAATCAATTGTATCCTGATTTTTCTTAAAGGTCTGACATGGAATTTTGTCCAAAGAAATACATAAATAATTCAATGTCTATCTGATGGAGTCATACATAAGTAATCGAAATCCTAAAACACACACGGGAATATCACTGCTGATGCACAGAGCAACTCCAGGCTGGGAGGTATATTGCTACAAGGGCAGGGGGAATGTGTGGAAGTGTGGGGCTTTGGTTGCACTGTAAATCAAAAAAGCCAGCTCTCTAAACAAACTATCTTGGGGAGGTTCCTTAAAAAAAACCTTTCCAAACCTCCCAAAATGTTTACTCTGAAAAGTTTAAATTATGCGCAGTATCGTTCCCTAGTTCCTTCTGGTCCTTGTTATCGTCCTCTCCCTACTTAATCACTGTTTTCTTTACTGAATGCAGAGACTAAAAAGTTCAGTAAATGAGCACCAATGACCTGGGGATGCAGACACAGAGCCTCAGAAGCTGGGCCATTGAACTCCTGAAAGTGGGGTCCCTGGAGATACTATTCTTTGGGGGTTTGGAGGCAGTAAACACACACTATTTCTATCTTCTTTTGCTTAAAGATAAATTCAGTTCCATTCTCATTTAGTCCTGGGAAAATCCTTTCCTTAAAGGTGTTTTCTGGTATAAACTCAGATGCTGATATCCACGCAGGTGAAGTTCTAAGGTTTACCTCAGAGTGAACCAGGTTGAAATGTGCCCTGGGGAATATCGATCAACTGAATCATTCTTAGCATGCCCAGGAATGTTTCCAGGATTGACACAACAGTCTTGAAATTTAGGGCTGGCTATTCTACCTCACAGCAGACCTCGAATAGCTTCTCAAAGTAAAAGTCAATCAATTCCAGCAAGAGTCATGAATTTCAGGGTGTCAAAATGGGTATCTGTAGACACCAGTTTGGTTAAGTAGCATTCCAGGAGATAGTCAACCATAACGAAATCAAAAACCCAACTGAGAATACACAGGGCGTAGGCTGTAAATTGGAAATTTCTCTTCCACTTACTTAAGTTAAAAAAAAAAAAAAATCAGGTAAAAGGCTGTGGCAAATTGACTTTTGTGGTACATCTGGATATGTAACCTTTTCCATGCAGGTGTTTATGCTTCAAACCTGACATGTTAAAACTTCACAGCAGATAACTACATAACAGATGCAGCCACGTAACAGATGCAGTAGCTCTAATCTCCCTTGACAGGATCTGGAGATCTCTGGGTTTTAAGAACAACTGGAATAATCCAGCCTGGTGACAGGTGCTCAAAATGGAGACACCAGAATGCAGTTACTGTGAAGAAATGTCCAGCAGAGATCATTTCTACACAGGCAAAGAGTTAGTTAATTAGGAAGTCAACAAATACTTTTTGAACATGTACCAGGTGCCAGGTCCTATGCTAGGTAACGGGATATGGGACTGAACAAAACAAGTGATCGCTGTCCTCGTGAGGCTTATGGTCTAGGGTTCTAGGAAGGGAAGCAGCACTCAATCCAGAAGCCCTCAGCAGTGCAAACTGAACACCTGAAGTGAAGGGGGTACCAAGCGGTGTCTCCCTTGATGACACTTGTTACCTGAGCTCAGCGGATGGGCCTGTGCTGGGACAGGGGGCAGATAAAAAAAAAGACTTTAAAATTCCTCAGGTTTGTCATGGCTCTTGGTTCCTGGAGTGTGGATGTCAGAGATGGCAGACAGGAAAGCATTTCCTGCTTTTTAAGTTAGTCTCTGTGTAATAGTTTTCCTAATAAATGTCCAATGCTGTCCACTTCATTGAAAAGCAACTCTCCTAAAAAGTGACAACCTAAACTCTGTCTCTGTAGGGAATTAAATGAAGGATTCGGGCCCACACTTGGAGAAAAGAGGTCCGGAGAGAGTTGCAGCAATGGCCTGAGGAAGGAAGGAAGTCACCCTCAGACAAAGAGCAGTAGCCTAAGGGAAGAACAAAATTGGTGATTCAGAACTAGAGCCGGCTGGGGGGCCAGCAACAACCACAGCAGATCTGTTCAGTTTCTTTTAGCCTTAGTGTCCTCATCTGAAAAATGGGCACAGTACTAATAATTATTTTACAGGGCACTGTGAAATTGAGTATATCGATAAGGTAAACACCTGCCAATACTTTGCATCCAGTTAGGTATTCAATAACTAATGACAGTGTTCATTATTACTATCATTAAAGCAAACAGGATCCATGTGCTTATCTTCAGGGACAGCATTTGGTAGAGGGGTGTTTGTGGAGTTGTGGAGACCAAACCCCACTCTAGGTGTAGAATTAGGCACCAGGACTCAGCAAACTGAGTCCGAGAGTGTTACATCAAAGTAACAGGAGTCCAGGTCCTCCTAAAAGGTTCCAGGTCTGAGTGGCAGAAACTCCCACGTGGCATTCTAAGGCAGTTAGAAAAAGAAAAGAATAAAACTAAAGTGAGTTTTTGGTTTGTTCTGTCATTGCTTTTTGGGCTGGGTTTTGTGAGGAGCAAATTAAATTATCTCAGAAGGCAAAAAAAGCATGATTATTATTTTTTAAATTTCCAGAAAATATTTTAGAAAGAAGGGGTAGAGCCTGGATCGAGACAGGGCTAACCTCATGAGGGAGTTGAGAAGACAAAGAGAACCCAGCCTGTGTTTTCTATAAAGCTGGACCTGGTCAGATGCCCTATCTATTCCATCCACATGGAAGCTTCTATTTCCCTCACCACTTCTTGTGAAGCCTTCATCCATCTCCTCGAGAAGAGTGGTCTGAGCACGTGAGTGTGGCAGTCTCACGAAACCACTCTGAGAAGACACATCATGAGGTAAAAGAAAGCTTCTGAGGTCCGGCCTCCAACCTCAGGGTTGCTGAGACATCATCCCCAGTTGACACAGCGATTAGAAATGAAGGGAGCTGGCAGTCAGCTACTTACCACCGAACATGAACAAAACACAAAGTAGGAGTTTCAGTTTTCATCATAAAAGTGAGGTGGTTGGCCAAATCCGAGAAAGTATATAATGCATAGAAAGCAGAATCGAAATTGTTACTTACCAAATATCTTCAGGCCAGCCATACTTTATTAGATCTTCGTCTAGAGTGAGAAACAAGAAAACAAAGAAAAGGTTAAAAAAAAAAACCTGTCAAATGAAAATATGCCAGAGTTTATACCAATCCTTCCCACAACTGTTTCTCTCCCTTAAAGGAGAAAAGAGTAGGTGAGAGAGGCTTTGATGCCTGAAAATAGAGAAAAAAAAATTTGTAAAAATAGCTTTTAGAGTTGTCATAATTGATATAATTTTTATAATACTTAAAAGAAAGTTCAAGATATTTCTAATTTTTTAAATTGTATTTATTTTAGGGGGGAGGAGCAGAGAGGGAGAGAGAGAGAGTGCCAAGCAGGCTCCGCAGTGTCAGCATGGAGCCTGATGCGGGGCTCGATCTCACAAGCTGTGAGATCATGACCCGAGCCGAAACCAAGAGTCAGACACTTAACCGACTGAGCCACCCAGGCACCCCCAAAGATATATCTATTAAAAGTTAGTTAAACTTCAAATTAGAGCAGCTGAGAGGTTAGATGAGGTCTTGGGAAATTGATTCACTGTAATAAACTTATTTGTCAAAATGGTTTTGTTCATCAGTGAACTGTGTTTTACTTCTTAAAAGAGACCTCTTAATTATAAAATAGTAGAAAATTAGAAAATAAAACCACCACCAGAAGTATAAAAAAGGAAATAGAAATCACCTAAAATTCTGTCACATATGAAAATAAAAATAAAATAGAAGAAATAGCTGTAAGTTAAAAGTAACTGTCTCTGCAGGACAAAACAAGGACAGGATGGAAAATATTATTATGATACATATTCTGTTACTATTTGAATTCTTAAGCTATGTATTTCTTAGATAAAAGTAAAATTAAAAAGTAAAAAGGTCTTTGGAAACAATGACTACTTAATTCTACCATATGAATAAACTTTTCTATTGTTCACGTTTTGGTTTTTTTTAAACTTTATTTATTTATTTTGAGAGAGAGAGAGCAAGCAGGGGAGGGGCAGAGAACAAGGAAGAGAGAATCCCAAGCAGGCTCTGCACTGTCAATGCAGAGCCTGACGTGGGGCTCAAACCCACAAACTGGGAGATCATGACCTGAGCTTAAGTCAAAAGTCAGACGCTTAACTGACTGAGCTACCCACGTACCCCTGGGCTGTTTTAATTACAAATGCTTCAGTAACTATTTTTAAAATAAATATGTTCATATTCCCGATTATTTCCTTAAAGCATATTTATATTTTTAAAAGGTAAATTATTAGTTCAAAATGTATACTTCTGTATTTTTAAGACTAATAACATATATCACTACAGAAAGGTAAGACCTATACACACAAATAGCCATGCTAATAATTAGAAATGAATTGTGTCTAATACAAAAGCGTTAAAGTATTAGATACAAAGTTAAAAATTATAAGGTAAACAAAATGATTGATGTGATGACTTAAAATGTACCCAAGAAAGTATAATCTATCTAACTTGAATGGGGTATTCATTTTCCAGAAAAGTAAAAGGATGATAAATCTTGGATAATCTTAGAAACTGCAGACACTAGGGGCGCCTGTGTGGCTCAGTCAGTTAAGCCACTGACTTCAGCTAAGGTCGTCATGATCTCGCGGTTTGTGAGTTCGAGCCCCACGTTGGGCTCTGTGCTGACAGCTCAGAGCCTGGAGCCTGCTTTCCATTCTGTGTCTCCCTCTCTGCCCCTCCCCTGCTCACATTCTCTGTCTCTCAGAAATAAACAAATGCTAAAAAAATTTTTTTAAAAACTGCAGACACCATACATTTTCTGAAGGGCTTTGTATTAGCTTACATGGGAAGCTGAGCCAATAGCCAACAAGTAATCAAAAAAAGGAAAGGGAAATATAAAAACCTCTTTTCCTCAGTCAGGCAATGTTTGGCCTCCTGGTGACACCTGCTGGCTAATAAAAGGAAAACATCTGAAAGCTTTTTAGTGAAAGAAAGTAAATTATTCAATTAAAAATGCACTGATGTTCCATCCAGCCCTTAGGCTGAAGTCATCAAGGCTATCAGGAATAAGTATGATGTGCTAGGAGCACTAGGGAACAGGGTGCTTTAAAAATGTAATCTCTTTTTTACAAAGCAATCTAGGAAAGCTGGCACCTCCAAATGACTCCAAGGGCTCCTGGGTTTTTTTTTTCCCACATACATTTTATTACTTTTTTAAAATTTATTTTAAGAGAGACAGAGTGGGGGAGGGGCAGAGAGAGAGGGGAGACAGGGGATACGAAGCAGGCTCTGCATTGTCAGCATGAAGCCTGAAGTTGGGCTTGAACCCACGAACAGTGAGATAACCACCTGAGCCAAAGTCGGACTCTTAACCGACACAGCAACCCAGGCACCCCTCTACATACGTTTAAATGACAGCAAAACTCAAGTGGACTCTAGAAAGAATCTAAATTTACATCTGCAGACATAAATTCTATATTTAGATTTATATCTGTAGATATAAATTCCTACAACAGACATTTAAAGGATTCTACGTCAAGCCCAACCTAACCTGCTCCTCCTTGGCTCTCTCTAATCACATTTATGCTGCCCCTTCCTCTACTTCTACAGCACTTATTCATATTGCTTCATTTCACCTATACTTTTTAAAATAGACATTTTTTATTTTACTCTTTCTTTTTGAGAGTGTGTGAGTGAGCAGGGAGGGGGAGGGAGAGGGAGAGAGAATCTTAAGCAGGCTCCATGCTCAGCGCAGAGTCCGATGTGGGGCTCGGACTCATGAACCGTGAGATCATGACCTGAGTCAAAATCAAGAGTCTGCTGCTCAACCAACTGAGCCACACAGAAGCACCCCTAAATTAGACTTTATTTTTGAGAGCAGTTTCTAGGTGCAGAGCAAAATGATCGAATACTTGTTTTTGCATGTGCCTCTCCACCTTTAATACTATGAAAACAGAGATTCCATCTTCCTCTTTGGATGCTCAGACAGGCTGGCGTATGGGTCCACACAGATAAGCTCTAGCAAACACTGAACTAAAATGGAAGGAAAAAAGAGACCTGGTGGGAATGTCACTGGCACAGCTGCCTTAGGTCAGTAACACTAGCAGCCCAGCAGTGTGAGCCAGTATCAAGGCAGTCCTTCACTGTAAGAAATGTATCAAGTCCCCTGCCCAGAGTTACACGGTGCAAAACCCAGGCAACCATACGTAGCAGCTCTCCTTTAGGTGCTTCTCAGTAACCTAAGTCTTGGGTTAGCATCCTTGATATGGTAGAAAGAAAGGTAGATCTGGTTAGGTGTGGATCTGTATCTACTGCAGATAACCATGGCTGGTTATAAACAGCCTCCTTGCTCGAGGTAATACAAGGAGATAGCATCCCTGCTCAGCTACATTCATCAGGATGGGGCTACGAAAAAAATACAAGTTGTCTCTGATGATGTAGGAGTTACTAAGAGAAATATAAAAACAAGTATACTGCAGACTGGGTGCCTCCATTAAGTCAGACTAGAGACAATGTCATGAATTCATTATACGGAAAAACTGTTTAAAAATTAGTTATTTTATTCTGCTGGTTTTTTTCTCTTGGCTAGGATGTAATAGGCTTGCTTATTCTGATTCTGCCTTATGGTAACCAGTATTACCACACAGTTCTAAACCATTTATATAGATCTGATTAAGAACTATATATATTTAAATATCGGGGTGCCTGGGTGGCTCAGTTGATTGAAGGTCTGACTTTGGTTCAGGTCGTGATTTCACAGTTTGTGAGTTTGAGCCCCACACTGGGCTTGCTGCTGTCAGCGTGGAGCCCACTTTGGATCCTCTGTCCCCCCCTCTCTCTCTCTGCCACTCCCCACTCACACTCTCTCTCTCAAAATTAAACAAAAAAAATTTAAAAATAAGATTTCCATAGCTATTACATATATCACATTATATATTTTATACATGTTTTATACACGTTTATTTTTTATGTTATGCATACATATATGTTATATTGTATGTTAATCATATATATGCATTAATTATACAGTTATATATTTACACATATCATAGTTATACATAACATTACTGTTTTTTGACATCTTTTAATTTTTGGCCTTACTTATTTCATTAATGTCAAATGTCCCATACTGAAGAATGTTATTCTTGTCTCTTTTAAAGAATCAAGTTTAAACTGTTGTCAGTTTCAAACTGCACCTAGAACAGACACTGATGGTTGTAGGGGGGAAAAAGAGCTAAAGAACCTCCAGTGGTGACAGCTGCCATTACTGAGTGCCCACCCTGGGCCAGGCACTTTATCCAGGCTCTTTGGTTTCACCTTCACGACCCTGCAAGGCAGATACTGTCCCATGATCCTCTTCTTCCATTTCAGCAATGTGAGGTTCAAAGAGGTTAAGTAACTATAGCTACTTTATTAAGAGCTGGGATTTTAACCCAGATGGGCCAGACTTCAGGGCTGTCTTTTCTAGGAAATTACACTAGCCCTGTGAGAAGAGCGATTGTATCTTCTCCAAGCGTGAAGAAGTGTAATTCTGTCATTTCTCCAAGCTCCCTTGTTGCAGATGTTTTCTCCCTCAGCCCAGTGCTGTCAACTCAATGCTCTAGAGCAAGAAAGCTAAACTTCTCCCTCTTCACTCGTGCAGTCAAAAGGCCATCCCCTTAAATGGTTTTTCCTTTTAAGCTTTAGTTCAAATTCATTAGTGGGTAAAAAAATTAATTAAGCAGGTTGAGACTAGCTTTTTAAAAACAAAACAAGAGGGCACAGCGAAGAGTATGGGTATTTTTTGTAAATTTTTGTTTTAGTTACATAAATGTATGCAATATGGAATAATGTATTTCATTTTGAGGAGAGTGGTCAATAAAGTCTGAAAAAACTGTTAACTTTTCATGACTCAAAAAGAGCCATCTTCGGCCTCAAAAAACATAATAGATATGTTTCCTCTATTCCTAAATGTGGTAAAAATGTACAGAAAATGAGCTTTTCAACCAAGTCACAGATTATTTTTACTTGACATAAACTAGCATAGGTTAACCTGATTCATATCACCCTAAATCAAATGATACCACAAAAACTCTTAATAAAGTTAACTTTCTAATCAGCAACAAATGGTCCAAGAGGCTCTAATGTTATTTGATATAACTAAATTCTAGGAAAGGAAACTCACTGGAGTTAATGGGCCTAACTAGTAGTAGTTAGTTGAAAACTCATATCCAACCAACCATGTGGGGTGAGGGGAGGGGGCAATTGACACTTACCTGTTGGAAATTTCAAAATCAAATGCTTTTGAAAACTTACTTTCATATTTATCCTTTCCCATGTAAATAGTGTAAGCAGATGAGTTAACTAAGACAAAACAAAAATATAAAAAACAGTTAGATAACTTCATCCCCAGCAAAACTGCTTCATGGGAAAATCAAGTGACAAATGCTTCGGTTAGGGGTTGTAAGACATGGCCTGTAGGTCAGATCCAGCCCTGTCTTTGGACAGCACACAAGCTAAGAAATGACTTCTACATTTTTAAAGAGTCGAAAACACAAAATGAAAAAGAATAAAGCTACAGAGATGTGGCTCACAAAGTCTAGAATATTTACTACTGGGTCCAAAGAGGAAACGTTTACTGATCCTTACTACAGAAGCTACTTCCCTACTTTCATCAGGACATAGTTTAATACAACTCCAGTTTAGTCCTATAATTTTGCCATCTTCAAAAGTGTTAAAAACAAAACGAAACAAAAAACCCAAGCTTCACCTCAACCATTTAAAAATAGGTTCCTATACTTAGCTAAGCCTTTTCATTATTTTATTTAGCCAATATTAGTTTTTTCCAGGTGTGCTACACATTATAATGGGCTCCTAACCTATTCTGGGGAAACACGTTTTTCAAATATCTTCTAAATCAGCGATTCTGAACCCTCATTACCCACCTAATTGCGTCCCAGCTCCATTAAGACTAACCAAGTCCAAATCTCTAGTGGGTAAGCAATGGTGTTTTTTAAAGGATCTCCAACTATTTCCAATGTGAACTCAGTGTTAGGAACTCAGTGTAAGTCAAACTGAATATTCTAGGTATAGCTTACCTTAGAAATGACATTTGCTTTACTAAGCTAGTGTCTTTTAATGTAGGCATCTTCCATCTGGGGTCAACTAAAAAGTTAACTTTCCTAATTGAAATTCTATCTGGGTTCTGGGCTTCCAAGCTAGTCCACCAAAACTTGTTTGACCCCATTTGTAGCAAAACTCCTGAATTAATGGTCACTGGGCCCCTAGTCTGGGCAGTTTGTTGACTGTTGCTAGACAGCACAGAACCAGGATGTGTGAGTGGAGCTCTAAAGGCCAGGGAGCAGCACTCTTTCATTTATAAATTCTTAAATAAATTGCCTGTACTTCCAGTAATGAGAAGCTCTCTAAATTATCATAGTTGCCTCTCTTGGGGAGGGAAAAATCTCATATCCTTCAGTCAACAGTTATAATGACTACAACCCAAAATTACTTGGAAGTAGTTGAGAGAACTAATTGGAAAGGAGAGAGTATTTGCATTGACAGAAATATCTGCCTATAATTGAGCATTACATTAGCTTGGTAAGGCCTCAGCATAGCCAGAACAGCCATTATAACAAATGCCAGAAGTGCAGAAATAAAACCATTTCAGATTCTCTCTGCACGACCTAGCAATATTCACCCTTTGATCCTACAATGTCACCATTAAGTACATACTATAATGACTCTATCAAGCAATGATGTTCTTTTTACAAACTAAACACTCATTAATTGAGACTGGTTAAACACACTATAGAATATCCATAAACAAATACCAGGCACCCACCGGAAAGAAAAGGTAGCAATTAAATAGAACAGCATTTTTGTATATATAGAGCAAAATTCAATTTGTAAAAAAATGAATATATAGTTGTATGTACATGTTTACAAATATATTTTTAATATATGCACCTATTTTCTGTATATGTATCGAAAAATATACATATAACTGTTAATAATACTTACCTTGGCTAGCCCACTTATGAAATATATAGATGGTTTTGTAATCAGAGTGAAAGTAATTTTTAAAATGATTAAAATAAAATAAAGCTGTTTGTGCAGGCTAAGCCATCTAAATTACAGCCAAGAGAATGACACACTATTGTTTGGACGGTTGACCTATAAAATGAGGTGATTAAGAACATAACTCAAATGCAAACTGAAGAATATTCTACAAAATAATTCAACAACAGTGTCATGAAAGGCAAAGGCTGAGCAACTGCTCCAGATTAGAATAAAGAGTAATGAATGACAGTGGAATGCAACAATGATTGGTAATTGCCCTTTGTTATAAATGCATTAGGACACTAATGCAAACTGAACAAAAACTGCTGATTATATCATAGTATTGCTGCAATGTTAATTTCCTAATTTTGATAATGAGGAATGTTTTGTGATTTTAGGGGGGGGAACCTGAAGTATTTAGGGGTAAACTGCAAATTACCAACAAATGGTTCAAGAAAAAAATGTTTGTGTGTTTGGAGAGAGAAGAGAAAGGAAAAGAAAGAAACAGAAGTTAAAATGTTAGAATCTGGGGGAGAGGTTATAAAGGAAATCTTTTATTATTTTTGAACTTTTCTTAAAGACTGAAATTAGTCAAAATAGAAAATTAAAAACAAAAAGGAGCAAGAAGTCTCAATGAAGTTCCTATGTTAATAGGATGAAAGAAAAGTAAATTGAATTATTCTAGTACTTTTGTTATTCTTGCCCAAATAATATGTTTTATTAGTATGGGAAGTAATTATCTTGAAGGTACTGGATTCAGGTATAGCACCAGTCCACTTTAGAGACTCTGATAATTTCATAATTTACAGAACAATCTATCTGGAGATAGATGCAATTAAAAGGTACTAAAAGTACAGGAGGACTCAATGAGCTAAGTGCTGATACCTTGTGGGTCCATAAATCAGATGGTCTTGAATTAGACAGTGGAAATACAGAAAGGCTAACGTTTCATTATTCCATTATGACAGGTCATGAAACATGGATGAAGTTAAAGAGATTTTAGTCAGATACTAATTTTAAAAGGAAAGGCAGAAAAACAAAACAAAACAAAAAAACCCTGAGATTTTCTCCCCATTTAAAAAATTTTTAAACAGTGGGGCACCTGGGTGGTTCAGTGGGTTAAGCACCTGACTTCAGCTCAGATCATGATCTCACAGCTTGTGGGTTCAAGCCCCACATCAGGCTCTGTGCTGACAGCTCGGAGCCTGGAGCCTGCTTCAGATTCTTTGTCTCCCTCTCTCTAAAATAAAATAAAATATTAAAAAAAATTAAAGAATATCTTTAAAAATTTTTCTAAATGGTAAACCATAAGTTGGTTGAAATGCTTGGCTATCTATAAGTCATTTCCTGAAGATTCTGTATGTTCAAGCTCTTTTCTGTAATGGAATTATGTAGTTTTACCACTATTCAACTGAAAAGGTTATAATTTTTCCATTAACTTTGTAGTTTTAAAAGATTTGCTGCACAAGTGCATTTTTGTTAAAGACCAAATATTTTTCCAACAGGAAGCAACTGTGACCTTATAATAGAAGCCAATGAGAAAAATATGACCCATAATCTGTGGGCACCTGGGTAAGTATGACTAGTGCTCAAAAAATTTAGAATGGTTTTAAGGAGAATTAGGCAGCTAGCATAAAATACATTTAGTACCTATATACGCTGCCTGTATTTTTTTAAATGTTGATTCATTTTTCAAAGTGAGCGGGGGGGTGGGGGGGAAGAGAATGGAACAGAGGAGCCTAAGTGGGGTCTGCGCTGACAGCAGAAAGCCTGATGCGAGGCTCAAACTCACAAACCAGGAGATCATGACCTGAGCTGAAGTCAGACTCAACCAACTGAGCCACCCAGGCACTGCCCCCCGCCCCCCCCAGCCTGTATTTTTTTATTCCATTGTTGAGCCTGTACGGATGTCTGTGTTGTTGGGAAGCTAAAAACTGATGCAAACAGAACAGAAAAGACGAAGGATGAAAATGCTACCAGGGGCCTGTAACGATTTTTCAGGCTAGTGTGAATTTTATTTTTGATAATTTTAATAATATGGCTAAGACAAGCCAAATCTATAAAGGCAGAGAAATAGCTTATGGCACACTGGCAGTCTAGACTACTGAACAAAATGGTGCGATGTGGCAGTGTGATGGTATAGGAGGGGTGACTGGAAGCTATCTGTATTACAGATTCCTTGGGTCTTACTGTTCTCATCTTTACAGTATCACCCTATTCGAACCCACACAAACAACATGGAACTCAACTTAAATCTCACCTTTTACAAGCAAGAAGTGAGAGTAGCAATAGAATAGCATGCGTTTTGACTAAGTCAAAAACAAACAAACAAACAAACATTAGTTTACTCAACAAGCATTTATTAAGTGCTATGAGCCAGGCACTAGGCTAGGGAAACAAGATAAGGAGATCCTGCCCCTGTCCTCAAGAAGTTTACACTCTATGCAGATCAAGCAGACAGCATTTAATACTATATAAGAGCAACGCCAAAGGTACACATGCGGTGTTAGTGGGGTGCCCCAAAGAGGTTTATCTAAGCAATCTCTGGGGGGGAGTTAGGTCGGGAAAGGCATTTGAAAAAGATGGGCCAGAATTGTCTAAAGGAAGTTAACTGGGGATTGACCAGGCAAAGGGAACAATATAAGCAAGAAAAACGAGGTCCAGACCATACCATTTCCTGGAAACTAAAAGCACCTTTTTCTTGTCAGCCAAAGACAATTCAGAAACACTATCACATATCAATTTTTGATATCTGGGACATCAACTCTGCCTCTTTTTATTGTTTTCTGTTGCCTTCCAAGCCCTACAACCCTATCCTAGAACGGTACGGTGCCCTTCCTGTAAGGCAGAGTTCTTGGCAGGTATTTCCTTTCTCCCTCAAAGTGGGTAATTACCAGGACGCAGCCAGAATAAAGGCTAAGGAGGTGAGGGTGAGACCTGGGATGGGGGTGTGAAGAAGCCCACAAACTCTGCCCAATTCCAGATAGCGAAAGGAGGTCTCTCCGAAGGAAAAGAACTTCCGAATGCAAAGACAGCAGGTGTGACGGTCCATTTACCTCCCCCCAGGCCGTGGTCAGGGGCACACGGGGACGACAGGGACAGACCCAAGTGGGGACCGAGAAGGGGCGGGAAGAAGCACCCAGTGACGAGGAGGCGCTTTAGGCGAAGTGCAGGCTGAACAGCAGCCTGGGGGTCCCGGCTTCGGAGCCCCGTTGTCGAGCTGTGACTGAGGAGGTCACGGCGCCGACTCACCGCTGCTGCTGGTAAAGTAGAACACCATGATCCCGGCGGCGGCACAACGACTCCAGCGCGGTGTAGGAGCACTCAACTCGCAAGATACCAGGATACCAGAAGCGCGGAGGCCGCCTGTCCCCCGGAACTCCTCGCTCACTTCCGGCGGACGTCGGGTCGCGTCATAACGCCAGCCCGTCGGCGCCATCTTTAATCCTGGCGAGGAGGAAGTTATAGGCGGGCTAAGAGGCTTTATTGGCTTGGGGGTTGAGAAGGAAAGATGGAGCTAGGGCAATTCGTGGTTGGAAGACACAGCGAGAAAACTCTGTCTTCTTGAAAGAAAAACACCTTTGGCCGACTTTATTTGCAGAACTTTCACCGAGTGGGCAGTCTTATCTTGAGGCTTATGTATTGGTTATATCTGCCACCCATCACCGCCTTATGGGTTCCCTGGCAGCAGAAACCGGTTGCCTTCTTCACAGGTGTTCACTGTGCTATTCACAGTACTTGACACTGAGTAGAAGCTCATTTTACTTGGAAATGAACCCGAATTCCTCCACCTTTCACATTCTAGTTCCGCCACTTGTAAGGCGCTCCTTGAGCACACTGTGCTTCACTTACCTAATCTGCTAAATGGAGATGAATAGACCAAATAATACATAGGTTATCTTGCTAAGGTTAAGTAAGTTAATAGACGTAAAGGGTTTAGAACTTAGTGCTCAACCAAAGTGGTTTGTTAGTGATATTCCCCAGAGGCATATGCTTATTGAGGTTTGGACTCTTGGACTGTTCTGCCTTTAAATCTGAGATCTCCCATCTATTACCTGTGTGTGATAGGGCAAATTCCAAACCTCTGAACCTCGAGATGTAACTGCTTTTGTCAAGTTGGAATAATTGTACTCACGTAAAGCTCCTCAGCAGTTAGTTTTGACCTGATTTTTTTCTCTTCATTCCAACAGACAATAGTCTATTAAGTGAAGTGCATCACTTAACTAAGAATGTGCCAAAGACTGTACCAGGAGTTAGTGATCCAAAGATAATAACAGTAGCTGACAACCCAGGAGTACTTTAAGAACCATACGGCGTCCCAAAGCAAGAACCTAGGCTATATTCTATAAATAGTAATTGTTTCTAGGCCCTCAGTTTTATTCTCAGTAAAATGGGAAAGATAATACATATCTCAGATTGTGACAAGAAGTGAATGAAATAAAACTCGTAAAGCGTGTGAGACTGCCTGGCACATCACAGATGTTCAGTGCCATGATTTAATTTTTTAAATTTAAGTTGAAAAATAAAAAAATGAACTAGAAATCTAACGTTATTACCAATAAAAAAAACGTTAAACTAAAGACAAACTTTTAAATGTGGAAGATAACTTACTCGAAAATCTTGGGGAGACTCCTTTGCAAAAACATGCTAAGCCAAGCGACCCCAGAATGTACCTGGAGTTCAGGAGGGTGCCTTTATTCTGCCGAAAACTACATTTCCCAGAATGCATCTAAACAAGACCTCGGGAAAGGAGCGCTGCGCTGCCGCAAGGGATTATGGACGGCGTGGATTCCCAGCGGGGAAAGTGAGTTTCACCTGCCAAGGGCGGGAGAATGTTTGGAGACCGCCTTTCGCACCGACCCGGCCAGCGCTAGTGAGCGACCAATCACCGAGCCAGCCCTCTGGAAGGTCTGAAAAGCGGCGAATCAGAACGCAGAGGCTTCAGCCTTCACGGGCGCGCGGTAATTTGAATACAGTGGAGGAGACACTGGCTCCGCTGGAGAGAGGTCGCCGGCTCTGAGGTTCAGGTGAGTGCTGCGGCGGGCCGAGGCGTGGGGTGGAAGACCGAAGACAACGGGAGACTCTGTGGAACGTGGGGGTGCATGTCGAGGACAAAGAGCTTTAGCTCAGCGCTTGGCTGCTGGAGACCGAAGCCACCCACAGGTCTCCGCACTTAGAGGTCACCGGGTTTCCATCTTTCTGACGCACTTTTCTGTCATGCCTTCTCTCATTCAGCCCCAGAAGAGTCTTCTCTTAAGCCGCGGCTGGACCTTGAGTTCCAGAGACCCTGGTTTTCCTTTTAACCTTGAACATGCTTGTGTAATACTTTTTTTTAACGTACCTGATCCGAAGGAAGGGGAGGGGAAAACTTCTGTTGAGCCAACATACCATGCTGTCTCATGCTCGAGAATGAACGTGCATGGTTTTATTTTCAGCAGCCTTAGGAGGTCCGAGGATTTTACAAACCAGGAAACAAGCGGCTTGCTCAAGGCTCCTCAGCCAGGAAAATGGGAGGGGATTATGCTAAACCCGCTTTCTTGCTGAACTCTGAAGGAAAGGCTAGAAACTGGTCTCTGCCTTCACTGAACAGTCAGGCTGTTGGGGAAGACAGTTAAGCCAGCAAGAAAATGCCTTAAATGGCATATTAAAGAAGTGTGGGGTCTGGCGAGGGCAGTCACAGGAAGATATCCCCGCAGAATATTTTAACTTGGTGTGAATTAATCAGGCTAATTAAAGAGGAAACTGTGCCCTGAAATGGGGTTAAAAAAAATACTTCCTCCTTGGGAGGATTATTTTCCAGCCTGAAATAGATGTACTAATTCTTTTATTTCTTGTTCCTAATTGTTATTGTGATGCAGTGTTTTCCTTTTTTTTTAACCTCCATGGCTTAAATGTTTATTAAAGTGATTTGCTTTTTAAAATACCCTCACCCATTTAAAAACTTTTTCAGATTCTTAAAGTAAAATTTTGATATGGTGATTTTTATACAAATTGGATACATTTGGTTATTATAATTTTCCTATTGATTTTAGGAGTTCAGTTAAGAAGATGTCAGCTTTTACTCCAAGAAAAAAGAAGCAGCGTTCTTTGAGCTGTGACAAGTGAGTCTCATCTTATGGGTAGAAACTCCTAAAAAAGAAAAATCCAACCTCTTGTCTGTCTTATCTTCTCTCTTCTATTTCTTAAAATTTCCACTATTCCACTTGTCTGCTCCTTGTGGCTATAGTATATTCTTTTTTTTTTTTAATGTTTATTTTTGAAAGAGAGAGAGTGAGACAGAGCATGAGTAGAGGGGGGGCAGAGAGAGAGAGGGAGACAGAATCTGAAGCAGGCTCCAGGCTTTGCGCTGTCAGCACAGAGCCAGATGCAGGGCTCGAACCTACAGATTGAAACCGAGCTGAAGTCGAATGCTTAACCGACTCTGCCACCGAGGCGCCCCCGCTATAGTATATTCTAATTCTAGTCTGGAACTATTGTAAGCTTTCAAAATTAATTATTTGGTGCCTTTGGAGAGAATCAGAAAGAGCTGTTTTCTATGACTTGGAAATGTATGTCAAATCTTTTATTTCCTTGCTCCTCTCAGCTCTCTTATGTAATAACTAACATAGTGTTTTTCATATAGTACTCATCTTTGAGCATTCTTTGAAAGTCTGCTCACTCAGTGCTTACTACATGTCTTAACAGGATATAAATTACTTCCCACAGAATAGGCTTGAGGTCAGTTTATTACATAGAACTAATCATTTTAGGGGACATGTAGCCTGTCAAGCCAGGTGAGCTATAACTCTATTGGCTATAATTTGTATACGGCCACAATTTAGATATAGGTTTAAAATGTTTTTTAATGTTTATTTATTTTTGAGAGAGAGACAGAGACAGGGTGTGAGTGGGGGAGGGGCAGAGAGAGAGGGAGACAGAGAATCTGTAGCAGGCTCCAGGCTCTGAGCTGTCAGCACAGAGCCCGACACAGGGCTCGAACCCACCAGCCGTGAGATCATGACCTGAGCTGAAGTCGGCCACTTAACCGACTGAGCCACCCAGGCGCCCCTAGATATAGGTTTTGAAACATACACATACCCACATGATATCAAATCCTTTTTTTTTTTGAGATTATTTTTGAGAGAGAGAGTATGTGTGCAGGTATGTGCCCGCAAGCGGGGGAGGTGCATAGAGGGGACAGAGGATCTGAAGCAGTCTCTGCACTGACACCGGAGGGCCCCATGCAGGGCTTGAACTTGTGAACTGTGAGATCGTGCCCTGAGTCAAAGTTTGATTCTTAACCAACTGAGCCACCCAGGCACCCCAAATCTTCTTTGTTAACAGTGTTTGTTTTTGCAAACATTATTGGGACCTTATTTTTGAAAGATATTTGAATGCTTTGGTAAAGACAAAATTTGAGAATCCTATTTTTATTTACGTATGTGGGTATGTATGTATTTTTTCAGTGGGGCAGAGGGAGAGAGAGAATCTTAAGCAGGCTCCATGCTCAGCGAAGAGTCCTATGTGGGGCTCAAGCTCATGATCCTGGGATCATGACCCGAACCGAAATCAAGAGTCAGATGCTCAGCTGACTGGGCCACCCAGGTACCCGGAGAATCCTATTGTTAAACTGATAGACAATGTTTATGCATGGTTATTTGGTAGAGAGGATTGTTTTTAGTATGACCTACCAGTATAGTTGTTTATTACTTAGTAGATTGGCATTAAATTGAAGCAAAATGATACTTATCAATGGACTTTGTTTCTTTTCATAGCCTATTATCAGACATCCCATCAAAGAAATTAATTTTGGACTTTGCTGAAAACGTATTTCCATCACCTGATCAAAAATACATTTCCCAAAGCAGTGATAACAATGAAGAAAAAGTACTTTGCTCTCAGCAAGGCCATTTCATTTCAAGTCCATTCAAAACAACTGAAAAATCCAGATTGGCATCTGCAAATCAAGGTTCACCATTTAAATCTGCTGTGTCTACTGTATCCTTTTACAACAAAGATCAGTGGTATCTGAATCCATTAGAGAGAAAGCTGATAAAAGAGAGTAGATCCATTTGTCTAAAAACTAATAATGAAGATAAATCTTTTCCCATTGTGACAGTCTGCTCCAAGAAGATAAACAAAAAGCCACAAAAGTGTTTAACTTCTAAATATCAACCGAAATATAAATGTATCAAGCCTGTATCAAAGAATTCTAAAAAATCCAAGCAAAATCGAGTGGCCTATAAACCAGTTGTGGAGAAAGAGAATAATTATTACTCAGCTCAAAATAATCTGAATGCTCCTCGGGTTCTAAGCCAAAAAGTCAAACCACAAGTTACACTCCAGGGTGGAGCAGCCTTTTTTGTTAGGAAAAAGTCCTGTCTTAGAAAATTGTCTTCAGAAAACAAGCCATTACTGGAACTCACGCAGAAGAATCCATCAGAAGTGATTGAAGATTCTGGTGTAGAGACTGTCCGTAAAAGAAAAGGTTTTGAGACAAGGCAAGTGCCAAAGTGCTTGTTACTAGAAAAGGAACCGAATGTTGAACTGCTTTGTGCAAGAAGTAAAAATGGAGAGAAATTAATAAAGGTAAAGAAAACCGAATATGTCACTTTAAAAACTAAGTTGGCTATCTGAAAAAACTTCAATATACTAAAGATATATATATACATATATATATATATATATATATATATATATATATATATATATATATATATATATATATATATATATATAACATGGCTGAACAAAATTTTGGTGTCTTTGCAGCCCAGAGGACTACTTTTATTAGCCAAATAATATAGTTTAATCACTAGAAAGAATTTAGGGCAGGTGCAATGATGGGACTTTTCTCCTTTTTTTGGCTTAAGGAAGCCTACAACATTTTTTTGCATTAAGGTATACATTTCACTAAATCCCTTTATTACTAAAATCCAGAGAAGCTTAGCAATTTTTATTTGGTGGTGTTTTTAGAATGTAGAAATAACAAAACTTAGGTAGTGGATTTCCAGCATATGGACATAATTGTTTTTTGTTTGTTTCAGCTTGTTATTTAAAGTACTGGATTATTCCACAAAATTTAAATTAAAAAAAATTTTTTTTGTTTATTTTTGAGAAAGAGGGAAAGATGGAACACGAATGGGGGGGCGGGGCGCAGAGAGAGAAGGAGACACAGAATCTGAAGCAGGCTCCAGGCTCCAAGCTGTCAGCACAGAGCCCAGTGTGGGACTGGAACCTATGTAGTGTGAGATCATGACCTGAGCCAATATCGGATGCTTAACAGACTAAGCCACCCAGGTGCCCCTCCATAAAATTTAGAGAAGACAGAAAGTATTAAAAACATTTTTTATGTAAGCCCACTACTTAGAGATGATCACTGCTCATGTATAGTTGGGTTTTGGTTTATTTTATGTAGTATGTTTTCATGGTTGCCATTCTATGATTTTTCGTTCTTGCCTCATATTTGACACAGCCAGCCTGGACTAGTGTTGTTTCCTAGGAATAGGATACCAAATTTACAATTTTCTAGGGGGGAAAAAAGGTGAAAAGTGTTTAACCCAATATATTTTAAATGTTACCATTTCAATATAATCATAACAAGTGATTAGTGAGGTATTTTTTTAATTTTATTTTTAATTTTTTAAAATTTACATCCAA